CTCCATCTGCAGCCCAACATGCTCAAGCTTTAAGAACCACCTTCTTGCTGGATACAGTGACACATGCCTATGATCCCAGATACTTAGGAGGCTGAGACAGGAGGAACACAAGTTGGGAGGCTAAAACAGGTTCAAATCCAGTCTGGGCAACTGAGGGAGACCCTGTTTCCAAAAAAAAAAAAAAAAGAAGAAGAAGAGAAGGAAGAAGAAAAGAAGGGGACTGGGGATATAGCTCAGTGGCTGAGCACTTGCCTAACATGTGTGAGGCCCTGGGTTCCAATCCCTGTACAGCAAAAATAAAGAAAACCTTGTTGTTCAGGAGTGCCCCAGGGCCATGGCCCCAAGAGTCAGCTTCCTGCTACAGTTTCAACACATGGAATCTAGAAGAACTATGATATCCTATGGGTCCTGCAGGCTACCTCCCCTTTCAGAGCTCCTACACTGTGAAGAATTATAAACACTGTTGCATAGTTCCTAGAGTCAAACTCTCTAGGCAGGTCAAAATGCTAAAATACAGCCACCTTATACGCACATTGAAGAAAATTCTTCTGTGTGCAAAAACAAGCCTTTGTGTGTATGCATATGTGTGTTTTGCTTTCTGTTTTCAAGTCTTCATGCTCCTTTATAAATAGCACTTATAAGAACTGGCCATTCATCAACAAGATGATGCAAAAAGGTCAGCCTGGGTTGGGGATGTAGCTCAGTGGTTATGTGCTTGCCTGGCATGCATGAGGTCCTGGATTTGATCCCAAGCACTGCAAAAATTAAAATTTTAATTAAATTAAATTTTATTTAGCTATGTTACTTCTGAAAAGACTGGAGAGAGAAAACCTTCTAGTACATGGAACAGGTTTTTTCTAGAAAGTGTCTTCAATACCTATGGCCAAATCATTGATACCTCATTCTTCAATGACAGGAACTTGATTTAGATTTAAGAATTTGGATATATGGTTTCAAACTTCAGGATGCCTGCAGGGAGCTTATGGCAAGTGAATCCAATTATATCAGTATGGTATTTGCACCAAGCACTGATATTTTTCAAAGTTCCTTATGAGAGTAAATTGGTAAAACAATCTTGGAAAGATTGGCAATATCAAACAAAACTGATCATTTACATGTTCTATTGTCCTATAATTCTATTCTTTTACATATATATATATATATATATATATATATATCTCCAATAAAAAAGCATATCACATTACACCAAAAGACATGTAAAAGAATGTGCATGGTATCATTCAAATTGCCAAGACCTGGGAACTTATGCCACTTATGTGCACAGATAAGTAAATAGCTGTACACAGAACACTATACTGCAATGAGTCAATGAAGTATGAGTAAATGAATTATATGTAACAGAATAATTTCAGAAATGGAGTATGATGCCATTTATAGAAACTCAAAAACAGACAAAACTATCTAGTTTTAGAAGTCAGGATAGCGATTGCCTCTATGAGAATTGGTAACCAGATGGCACTTCTCAGGTGCCAATAATGCCATTTCTTTTTTTCTTTTGGTACTAGGGATTGAACCCAGGGGTACTCTACTACTGAGTTATTTCCCCAGACCTTTTTATTTATGTTTTTAAAATATTTTTAGTTGCAGGTGGAGACAATACCTTTATTTTTTTTTTATGCAGTGCTAAGGATCGAACCCAGTGCCTCACACATACTAGGCAAGTGCTCTACCACTGAACTACAACCCCAGCTCCTTATTTTTTTTATTTTGAGATAGTCTCAGTAAATTACTGAGGCTGGGGCATCAAATGTGCAAAAACCTCCTTCCTCAGCCTTCCAAATCACTGGGATTAAAGGTGTTTGCCTCCAATAACAGCCAATACTGCCATTTCTTGATCTGGGTGCTTAGTTATACAAATATGTTCAGTTGAAAAAATTCATTGAGATGTATAGTTATAATAAGTATACTATTTTATATGTATCCACATTTAATATAAAAATAACAAAAAGTCCCCAAAGTGATTCAAGGCAGCTATCCCTGTCAAAAAGAAAACGATTCTAAGCCAGGCACAGTAATGCACACCTGTAAGCCCAGTGACTAGGGAGACTGAGACAGGAATATTGAGAGTTCAAAGTCAGCCTCAGCAATGGTGAGGCGCTGAGCAACTCAGTAAGACCCTATCTCTAAATAAAATATAAAATGGGGCTGGGGATGTGGCTCAGTGGTCGAGTGCCCCTGAAATCAATCCCCAGTACCCCCCAAAAAAAGTTTCTATCATTTATGTATATATTAACTAATTGCAGATCATTAATACAGCTAACATATATTGAACACTTATGTGCCAGGAACAATTCTGAATGTTCCTGTTTGGAACTCATTTAATTCTCCTTAGAACCCAATAGCCTGGACAGTATCTTTATTTTACATCTGAGGAAATTTTAGCACAGACAGATTAAGGAATTTGCTTAAAGTTGCGCAAGTAGTAAAGAGCAAAAAAGGGTTTTCCAGGTATTTGGATTACACACAAAAACAAAACAATCTATTTGTCCTTATGGAACTTATAAACATATTTAATATGCTCTCTATCCAAATAAAACATGCCCAGTATGCACCAATTTTTGGTAGCCTGCCAAGACAGAAACCTAAATTATCTCTTTACAACCAATCTTTCTAAAAGGACGTTTTTATCATGAAAAAGTCATTGGTAATGGGCTGGGGCTGTAGCCAGGAGCAGAGGGCATGCCTAGCATGTGTGAGGCCCTGGGTTCAATCCTTAGACCTACATAAAAATGAATAAATAAAATAAAGGCATTCTGTCCATTACAACTAAAAAAAAGAAAGAATGAAAGAAAAAGTCTATGGTAAAAGGAATAGGTTTGAATATAAGCAAAAATAAAGAAAAAGGAAAGTCAGGCAGAAACTATGCAGTTTAAGAAGCAAGGTATTGAAAAATAAAGATTTTTAAAAATAGCCAACAAGTTTATGAAAAGTTGCTAAACATCAATAATTATCAGGGAAATGCAAATTAAAATCACTTCACATCCCTTTGGATGGCTATTATCAAAAAGACGAGAGAGAACCAATGTTGAGGGGATACAGAGAAAAGGGAAGCCTAGCACACCACTGGTGGGTATATAGATTAGTACTATTATGGAAAATAATATGGAGGCTCCTTAGGAAAGAAAAAATAAAAACTACTACATGACCCTGCAGTCCCTCTCCTAGATACATAATCAAAGGAGACGAAATCACCCCCTTGTAAAAATAGCTGCCCTGTCACTATGCACTGAAGCATCATTCAAAACAGCCAAGATATGGAAACAACCTAAGTATCTGCTGATGAGTGTATGGATAAAGTGGGAAATATTTACCATGGAATATTACCAGCCAAAACATGGATGGACCTGGAGGACATTACACTAGGTAAAATAAGCCAGAAACAAAAAGAAAAATATTGCATAATTTCGCTCATATATGAAATATTTATACATAAGATTAGGTCAAAGAATAGAAAGTAGCAGTTATGTAAGAGGAACATGTCTAGAATTCTAATGCACGATATGAAGACTATAGTTAACAGTTACATTGTGTGAGTTTTTTATATTAAATAAGTAGATTTTAGCTATTCTTGTCCCCAAAAGTATCTATGAGATAATGTAATTTGCTTCACTATAGAAACCATTTTATTATCTATATGTATACCATGATATCATGTTGTAAACCTCAAATATACCTAATAAAATATATTTTTAAAAAAGCACTCAGGGATTAAGTATTGCAATTTCTAGTGCAAAAATCTGGGGTTCTTCCTCACCAATGTGGAAGATTCACCACCATCTAATTTACATCTCTCCATCTTTGTTCATATTCTCTACCTTTCAGGAAACAATCATTTTGTCCCAAGGTAGGCTTTACCACCAGTTAACTTTCTAATGCACTCAAAAGCCTCTTTGAATAAAGTTAAGGATTAGAGGACAATTGTTATTGTCAGCTACAGCAGATACTAAATAACTGGAGATGCCAAAGGTCCCAAATGCAACTTCAGTAAAGTCAGACAGAATAGATCCTTCTCTATTCTTTCTACCCTCCTCTTAACCCCCAAATCACTTCTAAAACAAAAAGCAGGGGGCGTGGTTAGGGGGTGTAGAGAAGTAGTAGAGCACATGTTGTATAAGGCCCTGGGTACAATCCTCAGCTCAGTAAAGAGCAGGAGATGTTCCTTTCTGGGAGCAAAGGTGGCACCCATATCCACTTCAAATCTGAAGGGGTAGAACAGGAAGAGCTCAAATGGAATATGGAATATTGTCAGGACTCATGAGCCAAACTAAAAATTAACTCTAGAGTCAGCACAGAAAGATGGCTGTTAGGAGCACGAGATGGAAGGGAAAGGAAAAGTTAGACTCTGGTGTACTTGGAAAAACCATGGACTGAAAGAAGATCCTCTGTCACCAATCTTATAAAGTGCTGTCACAATGTAATCACCTCCAAATCATAGGAGAAAAGAGTGGACAGGATTTCTGAGTTCTTCAACTGGCGCCCCGGAGCAGTCCCAACTACTCTCTCAGAAAGTTGCCAGCACACTGCACTTCGGGAGCAAAGTCAGGCCAAGACTTGCCTCCCCCACTCCCCCCATAGAGGAGCCCAAGGGCAAACAGACTGGGCCTGGGACCTTTCTTCGCTTGCAGGAGACCGGTCGTAAGGTGATATGGGCCCAGTCAATGTTCTTCCTCCCTACGCAACAGACCTGACACCACTTCTACAAGCGTCCCTCCTGCAAAAATGGGTCCGTGGGGGACTGCACACCTGGCTCAAAGATCTCGCCAGCGGCCCAATACGCCCTAACAAAAATGACAAGTGCTTACGCAGAGACCACCTTCCCGTTCAGGACTTCCGCCGGTGCCATGGCCTTCAATAGACCGCTGCCCACGATTGACACCACCAAAATCGAGGTTCCACTCCCTTCGCGCGGCGGGACCCGGGAGCCTAACCCACGTGCTTAGTGACTGCCCACAGAGCTCGTACTACTGCGCCTGCGCCCACCCGCACCCCTCCACCCACAGGAGGCGGAGGCGCGTGCGCAATCCAGGAAGATGTCGTTCCCTCAGCTAGCGAAGAGCGGAGGGGTAGGGGGCTGCAGCAAAGGGAAGAAAGTAGGTGATGACTGGCTGGCGAGAATGATTGGCTGATGGAAAGAGCCGGTGCCGAGCGCGCCTCTGTCTGGGGCGGGAACCCGCCGAACAGCGAGCTGGAACCGACTCCGGAACCCGCCTTTGTTTCAGCCAATCAGGGCCGGGCGGCCTGGCGGGAGTGCAGTTTCGCGGGCGCGGGAGGCGCGTCTCCGCTACCTCTCTGTGCTGTGGGGACTTCTGACTGAGGCTGAGGCTGAGGCCACCTGGCTTCTCTCGAGAGTTCTGCCCCGCCCCTCCTGGTGGCGGCTGGGGACCCTGGGTGTGTGGGCAACTTCCGACTCTCACACCCGCGCTTGTGCGGTCGGGGTCGGCCTCTGATTCCAGGGGACTGAGTTGGCACCAGCGGCTGTTTCAGCCCCGCTGTGCTGGGAATGGTGACCGAGCTGGAGGGCGCGTGGCTCCCCGCCCCAGACCTGGGGTTGGAGCACCGACGCGGGCCGCGGGTCCGCGAGATGAGGTTGACCCTCCGAGCGCAAGCTCCTCCCTGTAGGCGTCCCTCCGGGAGCAGGACTGAGTTTGGCATTTGCTCCGGGAACCTGCGGGACCGACTAGGCCGCTGGGCGCCGAGTCCGCTGACTCTGCTTTCTCTGCACCAGCTCCCTGGCTAGGTTCTTACCGAGCCCGGGTTACAAACCCCCCATATAGTTCAGTCGTCCAGATAGATCACTTAGGACCTGACCAGTTAGCTGGGTTTCTTCTAACAACCGTTTCTTTCTTTTTTTTAATATTTTTTAGTTGTAGTTGGACACAATATCTTTATTTTATTTATTTTTATGTGGTGCTGAGGATCGAACCCAGGGCCTCACACGTGCTAGGCAAGCGCTCTACCCCAGCCCTAGCAAGCGTTTCTTAATGGCAGAGCTTATTTATTGAACTTGATGCGGGGGGGGGGGGGGTCCTGGGGGTGTAGGGGGGCCGTAATTGACATTTGTCTAAATTCTGAGAATTCCTAAATTCTTAGAATATTTTGCAATACCCACTATATGGAATTATAGAATCTTTTTCTTGTTTTATTAACAGTTTTGAGGTGTGACTTACATATCATAAAATTAACCCTTTTTAAATTTTTTTTTAGTTGTAGTTGGACACAATACCTTTATTTTATTTATTTATTTTTATGTGGTGCTGAGGATGGAACCCAGGGCCTCGCACGTGCTAGGCAAGCGCTCTACCGCTGAGCCACAACCCCAGCCCAAAAATTAACCCATTTTTAAATGTCAATGATTTTTTATATATTTACAGACTTGTACAGCTACCACCATGATACATTTAGGAAATATTTGGCGGGTTTTTTTCCAGTGTGTGTATGTGTGTGTACACTTAGGCTAAAGATTGAATCCAGGGCCTCCCATATGTTAAGTGGCTCTGCCAGTAAGCAACATCCCCAGCCCCTAAGTGGACACAATATAACACATAGTGATACAGTAATTACCGTATAATAGTAATATAATGACTTCTGAACATGCACTCATTGTTTTGCCTGAACAAATGAAATTAACAAGAAAACTGTTTCTGATAAATTACAGGTAGTGAATCTTTTTGTATCTTACATTACCAGATAATGACTGTTTCTGCTGTTTTGTTTGCTGAGAAAGATATCCAAACTCCATTTTACAAATGGGCAACTAAACTTTGAAGTATTGCTTGCCCAAAGCTATTGTTGGCCCTAGGACTCAAAGCTGGATGCTTCATCTTTAATTTATTGCCTTTGCTATCTGAACAAGTCTAGTTTTCAGCTGTCATATCTATGAGCTATACAGTTCATTCATTCATTGAGCAAGAAATTGTTGAGCAGCCACTATGTGCCAACAACACAGCTCTAGTGGTATACTGCAGAACCAGATATATTAGTAAGCTGTTCCTGCCCTCAGTTCATATTTGGTGGGGGGAGAATGATCAATTTAAAGAATATACAGCTTTAGAAATGAAGGCATGCTATTATTTGTTTTGTCATTTACTAATTTTGGAGTGCTAGGGATCAAACCCAGGGCCTCAAGCATGCTAGCAAGCCCTATAGATATAACCCTAGCCCAGAGAAATGCTGTTTTTAAAAAAATAGGCTAGTTAAGAGGATAGACAGTGATGGTGGGGAGGTGGAAGGTGATGGTTGATACATATTTATTCCTTTTTCCTTTGCTGGAAATTGAACCCAAGGCCTCACACATGCTAAGCAAGTGTACTACCACTGAACCACATCCCCAGCAGTGCAGTTTTGGAATTGTGGTAAGAGAAGTTTCTCTGGGCAATGATTAAGCAGAAACCTAAATGAAGAGAGGAACTTGGAATGTAATAGAAAGATAACAAGGACTTGGTCTGAGCTACAGGGAGATGAAAGGATTTTACCTTTCTGTAGAAGGACCAGGTTTTAGGGATAAGATCATGAATTCAACTGAAATGATTTCAGATGCCTCTTCAACATAAAAGTGGAGATATAATATTTAAATCCATGAGACTGGATAAGAGCTCACCAAGAAAATTGGATATAAGTAAAGAAAGAACCAATGACTGATCCCTGGAACACCCAAGAGGAAAGACAAAAAGTGAATCCGGTGTGTTATGAGGAAAACTACAAAAGCACATTGTCTTGAAAGACAGTATGTTTGGGCTGGGGTTGTAGCTCAGTGGTAGAGTACTTGCCTAGCATGTGTGAGGCACTGGCTTTGATTCTCAGCACCACATATAAATAAGTAAAATAAAAGTCCATTGACAACTAAAAAATAATTTTTTTAAAGAGAGAGAATTTTTTTTAATATTTATTTTTAGTTCTAGGCGGACACAACATCTTTATTTGTATGTGGTGCTGAGGATGGAACCCAGGCCGCATGCATGCCAAGCGAGCACGCCACCACTTGAGCCACATCCCCAGCCCTAAAAAATATTTTTTTAAAAAAGTATATTTCATGGGAAAAGGGGTAATTAATTCTGTCAAATGTTGCAGATATTCAAAACCAGCCTCAGCAACTTAGCAAGATTCTGTCTAAAAAATAAAAGAAAATGTTGCACATTGGTTAAAGTAGGGAGCAAGAACTGACTACCTCAGAGAGAACAGTAAGACAAAAGTTTATTTAAATACATATAATGGCAGTTGCTAGAAGATATGTGTCACTTTTTTGCCCAAACTTCATTTTTACAACCTTTTGGCGGAGTGATTTAATAATATATTGATATTATTGTAATTCCACTTCTTGGAATTTATCCTTAATTAATATTCACACAGATACACAAAGATATATAGGAAAATGTTAATTACAACATCAACTTCAATAGTAAACCTCAATAGCCTTCATCATAATGAATCTCTGTAAAGGCAGGTTATCTGTAAAATGTATATTACCATTTAATTTATTAGTATATCCCCCAAAGGCCTTCTTTGGTTATACTATTAAAAGTTGCCCTCTAATTTACCTCTCCTTTACTTTCACATGAGCTTATTTTATTCATAGCACTTATTACCATAAAAATGATTTGGTTTTAAGTTATTTGTGGACTATCTGCTTTCTCCACCAGAGTCTGAGCTTTATAAGATTTCCTTTGTTGTTCATACTTACCTACCTACTGCACATGGATATTTTTTATTTTATTTTTATTTTTTATAGTGTCGAGGATCGAACCCAGGGCCTTGCATACAATAGGTAAGTGCTCTATCACTAAGTTACATCCCTATCCTCAGTGAGTATAATTTTTAAAAAATCTTGTAGAGGGAAAAAATGCTTCCTGTTATTCTGGAGTAGTTATTTATTACTCTCATTTCTATAACTTAATTTCTCCAGCCTCATTTTTATCATATATAGATGAAGACAGTGGGCAATTATTCTCAGCCCTAAATTTATTTATTTTTTGTTTGTTTTGGTGCTGGGGATTGAACCCAGGGAATTGTGCATGTGAGGCAAGCACTCTACCAACTGAGTATATCCCCAGCCCCTAAATTTACATTTTAATGACCTATATAGCTTTTAGTATGAAGTTATGCCGGTTCTACCTTTGACTAATAAAGTCATAAATTGGGGTAAGGTCAAGGTATCAGTATTCTTTGAAGATTTATTTGATATTAAAAGATATTTCTGGTTATTTCAAGATCAAGAATACATTATAGAGCCAGCAATGGCTGTGCCTAACTATATTCTCAGGAGACTGAGGCAGGAGGATCACAAGTTCAAGGCTTACCTGGGCAACTTAGCAAAACTCTGTTTCAAAATCTTTTTTTAAAAAGGGCTGGGGAGGTAGGGATGTAGCTCAGACATAGACTGTCCTGAGTTCAATCCCTAGTACTGAAATAAAATAAAATAAAAAACTAAAACTAAAAAATAATAATACATATCCAGGCATAGGGGCACATTCTATAATTCCAGCAACTCTGGAGACTGAGGCAGGAGGATTGCAAGTTCTAGGCCAGACTGGGCAACTTAGCTAGGCCCTAAGCAACTGGGGATGTGGCTCAGAAGTTAAGTGCCCCTGGCTTCAATCTCCAGTCCGCACACACATAATAATTGTAATAGTAATAGTAATAGCGACCTACTTTCTCTGCTGTGAAAATATTTTCCCAGAATTAGAATCCTGATTTTTCAGACAAAGAATCTTTTGCTGTAGAAATAGTAGATAGGTGACTGGGGTTGTGGCTCAGTGGTAAAGCACTTGCCTAACGTGTGAGGCACTGGGTTCGATTCTTAGCATCACATTTAAATAAATAAAATAAAGATCTTTCAACAGCTTAAAAAAAAAGAAAGAAAAGAAATAGTAGATGGAATAATTTCCCATTCTCTCAAAATAGTTCTCCTTTGATGAGATATATGTTGGAGTACAAATGTTTGACCTATTCTAAGAATTTCACAAAAGGAGGATCAGAATTATGATTTGCATGATTGCTGGAGTGTTCACTTTTTGGTCAGATCACTTTCTTAAGATTTCCTAAGATTACTAATGCTTGATGAAAATCACTTTGTTTTTTCATTTTATTAATTAGGGAAATAACTACAAGTCTAACTGTCACTTTGGGAGATTTCTTCTCCCTCCTTGAACCTCTGTGATGCGGTTGCCAAGCAACAGCTCCTTTGATGTGCTAACATTCTACTGGCAGGACTGCTACTTACAGTGGACAATTCAGGTGCCTTTTGGGATTGACCTTGGATTTGGAATTTTCTCTTGTTCTTTATGTGGTAAAAATTTTTGCTTTCTATTAAATTTTACATAGCATACTTTATCTTATGAGTATATAAAATAGAATAGTCATATACAAAACTAAAAATCCCAGAATAAACATGTCATATTGTTGTATTTTATTTTTACTTTAGATATCTCATACATTTTTATTGTATTTTCATGAAATTCATTTTAGGGAACAGTACTAATATCTATTAAATTAACTTTGTATTAAGGATTTTTTTTTCTCTTCTTGTTTTCTTTGGTTGTTCAGTTTATATTTTCTGTGGCTGTTGTGAGATGATAAGGACAAACCAGAAGTAGATCCTACTGTTAAATACCTTTTATTTAGCAGGAGAGATGAAAATTTGACATAGTACAATATCAAATGAGATAATAATGAAATGAATAGTCTGCGGGGCTAGAACAGAATACCCAGGCTGGGTAATTTATAAAGACTGGAAATTTATTTCTCATGATTCTAGATTCTGGAGGCTGGGAATTCCAAGATCAAAGCACTGGCATTCAGTATCTGGTAAAGTGGTAAAAGCCTTCTTCTTTTTTTTTTTTTTTTCTCAGCACCAGGGATTGAACCCAGGAGCATTTAACTACTGGGCCCCTTTTTTCTTTTTTCATTTTTAGACAGGGTTTCCCTAAATTGCTCCATCTGGCCTCAAACTTAGTAATCCTTCTGCCTCAGCCTCCTGAATGACTGGGATTACAAGTGTGGGGTACCACGCTCAGCTTGGTGAAGGCCTTCTTATTTCATCCTTACATAGTAGTAGAAGAAAAGAGAGTGAATTCTCTCACTCAAGTTTTTTTTTTTTTCTTCCTGTACCAGGAATTGAACAACCCATTGGCATTTACCAATGAGCCATATCCCCAGCTCTTTTTATTTTTAATTTTGAGACAGGATCTTACTAAGTAACTTGCTATCTTCCTGACTCAGCCTCCCAAGTCACCACCTGCACCCAGCTACCTCAAGACTTATTAAGAGTCCTGATGCCGTCCGGGAGGGCTCTGCCCTCTTGATTTATCACCTCCTAAAGGTCCTACCTCTTAATACTATCACACTGACAACCAAGTTTCAACATATTAATTTAGGGGATACATTCAGACCATAGCAAAGTTAAGAGAAAAGAGAGATCACCTTTGCTTTGTAGAAATGAAGGAATGGTATTTGAACTGACACTGAAGAATTTTTATAAAAGTTCACCATCTGGGAATGGCCTGCACAATAGCTTGTTTTTTAGAGAATCTGAGTGAAAATCAATAAATAAAGTTGTTTTTAATAGAGCACAAGGGGCTAGGGAATAGCTCAGTGGCTGAGTGCTTGCCTAGCATGTACAAAGTCCTGGGTTTAGTCCTCAGCACTGCAAAAAGAAAAAAAAAATAAAGGCCAAGATTCATAAGATGGTAAGAAAATAAAAATGAAAGTAAAAACTGAGAATATTAAGAAGAAATTTATTTTCAGTATCATGATATTTCCAGGATTAAGGAGGAATTTATTTTTCCTTCCATGAAAACTTTAGTTCTTTTGATTCTCTTCTTTGGCTTTTAGAAAAGAAACTGATATAGTAATGATCTTAGGTATCAAATAATGAGAATAGGGGAGAGATTAAAGTCTCACTAGACATATTTATGCTTTAATATTTGCTTTTGATAATATTAAATTTAAATTATTAGATTTTTTAAATATTTTTTTAATTGTAGTTGGACACAATACCTTTATTTTATTTACTTTTATGTGGTGCTGAGGATCGAACCCAGGGCCTTGCATGTGCTAGGCAAGTGCTCTACTGCTGAGCCACAACCCCAACCCTATTAGATGGATTTTAAAACAGACTTCAGGGTTAGTAAAGAAAACACAGGCCCTTATTGCATTGTGTTCCATGCTCCTCAAGTCACAGGGTCCTTGGGGCTAGGGGTGTGGTTCAGTGGTAGAACTCTTGCCAGGCTTTTCTGGTTTCCATCCCCAGTATCATACACCACACACACACACACACACACACACACACACGTACACACTTGAGTGCGAATGCACACACACCTGCACACACAAGTCACATGATCCTGATTTTTTTTTCTTCCCTTGAAAATTCCTATCATTCTGAGACTGTCCAATTCTATGGGAGACAACACTCAGCAAAGGAAAAACATACCCCACACTTACATGAAGCCCCTTCAGGGCAGTTCCTAAACATCAGAATGCATTCCCTGATTTTGTTTTGTTTTATTTATTTATTTTGGTACTGGGAGTGGCTCTACTACTTTGATCCCAGGAGTGGCTCTACTACTGGGCTACATCCCTGTTTTTATTTTTTAAATTTTGAGATAGGGTCTCACTAAGTTGTTGAGGCTAGCTTCAAACTTTCTGTTCTGCCTCAGCCCCCAAGTAGCTGGCAAGTACCACTACACCTGTCTATTTCCTGGTTTTGAAAAAGGAACCCCTATCCCGTTGCTTGATAAAACATAGAAGGTCAATTTTTAAAGTTTTCTCTATTCTTTAAGATTTTACTTTAGAAAAGAAAGATAATATATGGAATTGAACTGGGTAGAGAAAATAGATTTAAGGCAATGCTGAAATTCTTAGAGAATTTAATTTACAAAAATTACAATATGAGGTTACATTTTATTTTCCTCTGGGGTATAAAGAGCACTGTGAACTATCACATTCTATGTTATCAATTCATATTTGACTTTTATCTTTTAGTGGTATCTTGAGGGACATAATATTTCTAACAGATTAAAAATAAGGGAAAATTTACAAGTCAAATAACTAAAAACGTGATTAACAAACAACATTGGGGGTAAAATTCAGTAGTAAAGCGCTTACCTAGCATGCATAAGGCTCTGGGTTCAATCCCCATCACTAAAGAAAAAAAAGGGGAATGATATTATGAGTGCACATACCTACATTCACGTGCTACTTTCACCAGTTACAATCTAAACAGAGTTTGGTCCTGTCTCTAGAAACCAGGTCTTCCTTTTCTCTAAGCAATAGGTTCATTGGGCAGCTTCTTCTGAGGTCTAACTAAGCCCTGAGGATCTGAAGTAGAACCTTCTAGAAGACATTGCTTTTGATGCCCAACAGACCTCAGCATCTCTTCTTGAGTACTCTATGGAAACTTCCCTGGGAAGCATCTGGGGTCACCGTTAGCAGATCCGATTCATGCTGCTTGTATCTCCAGCATGTCAAGCCCTCTCCGATCTCTAAACCACTCACATCCAGGAAGGCTTCCTACTAGGCCCCATGAGGCTAAGTCACCACAAGTCAGGCAGCTATCAGCCTGGAAAAACCATCCAGTGGTGAGTTGTACTCTGGTGTTTATTTTTTTCCCCATTCTCATAAGGAAGTAAATCAATCTCTCCCACACAACTGAGAGCTTGAAGAAAGGGAAAGTCCATTCTGTTTGTCCATTTGCCTATGCTAGTGCCCTGACCCCTTTCTTTGCTAGTGAATGAATACAAGAAATGAGGTCAAATGATATCCCACTTCTTTTGATTTCTGGCTTGATTCTAGAACAAGGAGCAAGGAAATATTAGAATCTAATAAAACCTCAAACGGATTTTGGTTTTGACTGTTTTTGTAGTTCTGGTATTTCACTAATGCCCATTATCCCCAAAATAATATAAAAATAGACTGTAAATTGAGTTTGATCTAGTTCAATTATTTTGCAGATTAGGATACTGAACCCCAGAGAAAGGCCACAGTGATTAAGTGGCGGAACTAAGTAGTCTGACTCTCATTATCTTTTTAGTGCACCACATTTTTTTGTTTGTTTATTTGCTTTTTGTAGTACTGGAGATAGAACCCAAGGCCTTACCCATGCTAGGCAAGCATTGAACTATATCCTCAGACTTTTTAATTTTTATTTATTTATTTACTTTCTGTTTTTTGCAGTACTGGGGATTGAACTTTAGAGTGCTCTACTACCAAGCCATATCCCCAACCCTTCTATTTTTTTATTTTAAGACAAGGTCTTGCTAAGTCATCTAGGCGAGGCTTGAACTTGCCATCCTCCTGCCTCAGCCTCCTGAGTTGCTGGGATTATTTTTTATTTTAAGATAGGGTCTCACTAAGACTGGCCTCAATTTGAGATCCTTCTGCCTCTGTCTCTAGTAGCTGTGATTACAGATGAGCACTACCAGGCCTGGAATCAATTACCTAGTAGTTCATGTTTCTATAAACTTTTTATTAGATGCACATTAAAATTTCCCCATTTTATTGATTCCTATGTTTTCAGAAATTGTGTCTGCACAATTTATAGATGTGCAGCATTTCCTCATGGCTCACATTACAAATTGTTTTAGAAAATGTGAAGTAGCTTTTTGGGTCAGCATGTTGTTGCTTGCTGTTTTCTTGGGACCTAATGTGTTTGTTAGGGTAGCACCTCAAAATGAATATTTTCAAGTTTGGTCTATTTAAAACTACTTACTTGAGTTAATATAAGCCAGAATATTGTGGGTTTTTATTCACAGGGTACATGTTTAGTAATTAATTGGCAATTTCTCTTTGTAGGCTTGTTTTGATCTACCTCCTGAGGTGATTTCTACCAGGAACCCAGTTACATGCAACAAAAGGGCAGCTGACCCAGTCCATCCTGACTTTGCTGGTTTGTTGGTGAAAAACAAGAATCTTTTAGCTGAGGTATAGAGATTATATAAACAAAAAAGAACACTAGAAAATTATATCTTCTGTAGAAGTAGGGAGAGTAAACATTCTGATAAAGAGCTCAAGGTATTATCTATCCCACTTTTGCTTTTTTTGTGTGTGTGTGTGTTCTCAATATTGAATTCTTTCATTCCTGAGGAGTAATTTTAATTTAGACTCAAATCTGTCTTTTGACAGAGAATATCCACTGGAGATGACTGACAAATTTGGGATATTAGAACACAGCTTACAGATTACCATGCTTAAAATTTATGTAAAAATAATAATCAATTATATGTACTAAGTTGTTTGTTTTCCAGTGCTAGGGATTAAACCCAGGACCTTGACCAAGCTAGGCAAGTGCTCTACCACTGAGCTATACTGCCTACCTTAATTTTTTTTTTTTTTTGGTACTGTGATTGAACCCAGTGGTGTACTACTATTGAGCTATACCCTCTGCTCTCTTTATTTATTTATTTATTTTTGAGACGATGGCTTGCTAAGTTGCCAACGCTGGCCTTCAACTCACAATCTTCCTGTCTCAGCTTCCCAAGTAGCTGGAATTATAGGTGTGCGCCACCATGCCTGGCTCCTAAATATTTTTAATGAAAAAAATGAGCTCCTATTTTCAGCATACCACCAAATGGCAAATATTCACTAGTTTAATTTAATACTTGATATATCTCATTGGCATCAATAGATTAAAAAACAAAAACAAAAACAGAAAACACATTTGTAGGAAATCCCTTGACTTTTACTCCCTCTGATGAAGACTAGAGAGCACCTGTAGAAATTCTTTAGTTGAGCCTAACTATTCTCAGGATTTGTTGCAAGAAATAGTTCCAAAGGTAGCCATGGTTGGAAGCTCAAAGGTCATTGTTAAGGGTACTATGATGTAGCCATTTATGTCTATGCTGCCTCTATGGTTACCTCTAGGCAAAATGCTGGGAATGCTTACATTTGAGGGGCAATGACCAGCCCTTTGAATAAGTAGCAATCTATGGTGGCTATTTCCTAGGCAGCCATAACAAAGTGTCATAGACTGAGTAGATTTAACAACAGTTTATTTTTTCACAGTTGTGAAGGCTAGAAGTCTGAGACAGAGGGCTAAAAATGTGACTTAGAAGTAGAGTGCTTGAAGCGCCTGGTATATGTGAAGACCTGGGTTTGACTCCCCAGAGTGGAACAACAGCACCCCACCCCCGTCACATCAAAAAAGTCTGAGACAAGGTGTCAGTTGGGTAGTTTTTTTGGTTGGCTTGTAGCTGGTGGTCTTCTCCCTGTCTTCATGTGGTTTTTCCTGTGTATCAGCCTATGTCCAAGTTTCCTCCTCTTATAAGGATACCCATCATATTGAATTAGGGCCTACCTTAATGATATCATTTTAACATAATTACTTAACATAATTACTCAAATTCAGGCACGTGCTGAGATATTAGGAATTAGGACTTCAACATACAAATATGGGGGCAGGGACTCAACTCAACATAGTCATTTATAGTGGATTCTTTGCTGCCCAGAACCATATAAAAGTTCTTTTCTATTATTTCCTCTATCAATGGCTTGATTGATTCCAGATTTAATTTAAGTAGATACAAGTATAGATATAGATATCTAGGTAAATATATATATATATATATATATATTTCCATTTTATCTACACAAGAGTGGTAGATAGAGCTTAGATTTAAATTGAGCTTATGTAGACATAGTATATCTTATGAAAGCTTTGATAGAGTCATAGATTTTTCTTTTCTTTCAGGAAAAATTATGTCAATCCCTTAAAACTATAGAGATCTTATTATAACAGTCTAACTTATTATTAATAATCTCAGAAATTTGAATTTTTGATAATTCATATTTGTATTAGATTAAGTTTTATGTCTATGCATAATTCATTTAAAAACTTTTAAACCATCAAGTATAGTGGCAAATACCTATAATCCCAGCAACTCAGGAAGCTGAGGCAGGAGGACCACAAGTTTGAAGCTAGCCACAGCAACTTAGGGAGACTCTGCCTCAAGATAAAATCAACAGATTTGGGGATATAGCTCAGTGATACAGCACTTGCCTAGCATATGCAAGACTCAAGTTCAATCCCCAGCACTAGGAAAAAAAAAAAAAAAAGCTACTTGTCATGTGTACATAAATCATTTCCTAATTACATATATGTCTTCATCTATTTAACAAGGTAAATATCTGAAAGGCTCTGTAAGATCTCATTTTGACATGGTTTTAGATAGTTCCCATTGGCATTGTCTAAATTTAATACAAATTAGTGTCAGCCAGGTATAGCAGCACATGCCTGTAATTGCAGCAATTTGGGAGAGTGGGGCAGGAGGTCGCAAATAAAGAAAAAAAGAAAAGAGAGAAAGAAAAGGGCTAGGAATGTAACTCAGAGGTAAAGCACTCTCAGGTTCAATCCCCACCCCCACCCCCAAAATTAGTGACTATTTTTGCATGGTTTCCTAGTGTTAAAGTCATTTTAAAAAAGAAAAGTTTAGTGATTTCAACAGAATACCTGAGCATCAGCATGAGTCATCTTTCCTTTTTCCAATAACCTATTATTTAATTCCACAGGAACACAACTGTCTTGATAGGGTGGTTCTCTTCTCACTGCATGCATTTAAAAATTTTTATTATAATTTATCTCTTTGTGGGACATACAAAAATAATTGTGTTTTTGCCGTTTAATGGAGAAACAGGTGCAAGAGAGCTATATTTGGCTAAAGCTGGATATAGAAGGAATAAATATTAACCTATTCAGTTGGTTATTGTGTTGTCTAGTTAAAGCAGTATGATACTGAGCTAAAACTCTTACATAGTGCTAGGTGGGCTGCCATGTTAAAAAATATGAGTTCAGAACAAAAAGTCATATGAATATGTAATAACAAATCTCACTAATATGTATAATTATAATGCACCAATAAAAAGGAAAATGTATAATGAATTATGGTGTTCTAAATTTAAGATAATTTAATGTGTCTTATTTGTAAGGGAATTGACTATATTATGCAGATATTTTTCTTGCCAGAGAATAATAATAAGGCTAATAGAACCTGGTAGATGAAGCCAGCTCTGGAGAGGGTAGATGAGAGTAATAAAATTTTTTCAGGTAAAGAAAGTTATTACTCTTTCTAATTGAATTTTTTACTAAGATAATCATAAATATACTTGAAATTATTAAAAGCAATGGCAAGCCAGTCATGGTGGCGCATACCTATAATCCCAGTGACTTGGGAAGTTGAGAATCACAAATTCAAGTGGGATCACAAGTTCAAGGCCAGCCTGGGCAACTTATCAAGACTAAAAATTTAAAGAAAAAGTAGGGGGCAGGGGCGGGGGGATGTGGCTCAATGATAGACTGTGGAGCAGTGAGGTCTTGGATTTGATTGCCAAGGTGTACCACAAAAGAAAAACAAAAAGTTACGTTGAGATCTCTGTACACTGTGTCCAATTTCCCTTTTTTTTTTTTTTTTTTGTATAGGGATTGAAACCAGGGGTGCTTAACCAGTGAGCCACATCCCCAGCCCTATTTTTTGTTTTATTTAGAGACAGAGTCTCATGAGTTGCTTAGGGCCTCACTAAATTGCTGAAGCTGGCTTTGAACTTGTGATCCTCCTGCCTCAGTCTCCCCAGCCGCTGGCATTACAGGTATGCACCAATACACCCAGCTTGTTTAATTTCTTTTAATGGTAAAATATTACAGAACTATAGTATAATGTAACTGCCTGAGTATTAACATTGATATAGTCTACCAATCTTATTCAGATTTCCCCAGTTCTGTTTGTACTCATTTGTATGTTTATATATTAAATGCTATAAGTCAGTCAAGATACTGAATAGTTCTAACATCACAAGAATCCTTCACATTGCCATTTTATATCTACACCCACTTCTTCTCACCCCCAACCCTTGGTAACCACCAATCTCTCCTTTATTTCTCTTTTATTTTATTAATTGTAGATGGACACAATACATTTATTTGTTTGTTTGTTTGTTTGTTTATATGTGATGCTGAGGATCAAACCCAGTGCCTTACACATGCTAGGAAAGCACTCCATCACTGAGCCACAACCCCAGCCCCTTTCTCTTTTATTTATAAAATGTTATTCAATTTAAAGTATATGAGATGATTTTATATAAGGGACTTGGGCATCTGCAGATTTTGGTTATGTGTAGGGAATCCTGGAATTGATCACCCACATATACACAAAGGACAACTGTACTTTAAATCACCTCTATATTACATATAATTCCAAACTGTAAGTGCTATGTAAATAGTTGTTATACTATGTTGTTGGAACAATGACCAAAAAGTCTGTGTATGTTCAGTGCTGGACTCATTGGCACATGCCTGTAATCTCAGTGACTGGGGAAGCAGAGCACAAGGATCACAAGTTTGAGGCCAGTCACAGAAATTTAGAGAGAACTTCAGTGTTATGGTTTACATATGATGTGTCCCCCAAAAGCTTATATGTGAGAAATGAAAGGTTTAGAGGTGGATGATTGGGTTATGAGAACCTTAAAGCAATCAGCGAATTAATCCCCTGATAGGGATTAACTGAGTGGTAATTGAAGGCAGGGTAGGATATGACTAGAGGGGGTAGGTCATGGGGGTGTGCCTTTGCAGTATATATTTTGTCTCTGGCAAGTGGAATCTCTCTCTACTTCTTGATGGCCATGTCCTGACTTGCTTTCCTCAGTCACATTATTCCATCATGATGTTCTGCCTCATCTCAGGTCCTGAGGAATGGAGATGGCTATCTATGGACTAAGACCTCTGAAACTATGAGCCCCCAAATAAACTTTTCCTCCTCTAATTGTTCTTATCCGGTCTTTTGGTCACAACAATGAAAAAGCTGACTCAAATGTGCAGCAACATAGCAAGATCTTATCTCAAGATAAAAAATAAATAAATAAATAAAAAATAAAAGGCTGGGGTGGGGGCTGGGATTGTGGCTCAGTGGCAGAGCACTTGTCTTGCACATATGAGG